AATTTATATTTGAGAATATTCTGATAAAATTCAATCGATATAGGTTCCAAACAAGCGAAGCTGCATATCCCAATTAAATTACGCCTCTAGCCGGCCAATAAAAAGGCTACGGGCGCCACCGCGGTAAGTGCAGTCATTCCGAGCCTGCCCGATAAACCCAAAATAACAACACCGCTTCGACTTGAAAAACATTATTGGTTTGGTAATGATCATAAAAAGAGAAAAGAATTATTTCCTTTTTTCTCTTTCTTCCTTCCCTGAAACAACATCCCAACTATTCCTAGGCCTGTCTACGTAGCCAAATATTTTACCTTACTTCCCCGGCGGAATGTACATTTTCTTTCCTTCTCTCATTCTAATTATTTGGGGGGAAATTTATCGTTAATTAAATTTAAATAAAATCCACTCCTCTCGTTCCTCGAATTAAAGTTTAAGTGGCGGTGGAGCTGTTGGTGTCATTAAATACTTCTTGGGAGATGATTGGACCCGTGGTGTCACATGGGAATGTCCACACATATCTATAGTGTCTTATAAACCTTATGTTTACCTAACACCAATACACTAGCTACTTGTGGGGAATTTTTTTACAGTGCTGTTTATTTATGATTTTATTGAATATAGTGTCATTTTACCCTATATCGGAATAAATATCAAATATTCGTGATTTTTATTTATTCCAGAATTGACCAAATACTCATTCTTAATTAATCAACAATTAAAAATTAACAAAAAAAAATGATATTTATTTCTATGGATGGGGCAAGCCATCATCAACTTTCAGTTGCACGATAAGAAGATGCCTTTTATTGATTAATCAAGAAAGGTTATTTGGACAATTCTGGAAAAATTAAAAATCATCGAATAGTTGAATTTTATTCCGATAGATGGCGCAAGCCATACGATATGGAGATACCTTTTTTTACATATGGTTTAAAATTGTATTTGTTTATTTCCAGTTTTATAAATGAAATATGTGTCTATTACTAAATAATAAAAACGCATCATTCGGTCATAAGTATTTTTCAATACACACGTGAGGAATTTTTGCATTAAATAATTTGGATTGAAAATTTTATATTTAAAACCTATTGCATGCATTTGTGTAATTTTTTCAAAAAATAAAAAGGTCACAAAAGAGTTCCTTGAACAACTCGGCAGCAAGAATTAACCCGTTTGGTTACTTGCACTCGCTGGTGGGGTTGGACTTTGCGAGAATCGGCGCCCTTAGAGTATTCTTTTCAATTAGAAAAAAGTTCCCAAAGTGAGGGATTTGATCCCGGGTCGTAGCGGTTGAAAACCAACGGTTTAGACCACCCTTCCACCGACTCCCCTTTTTGTTTAATCAGTAAGTTTAACGTAGGTATAGCAATACTGTCAACAGTACTTGTACTAGGAGTACCGATTAGGAAGAAGTAAGAACAGCAGCGGATGTTGTCGTTCCTCGACCCGACGTCCGAGAGTCTGCCAAGAGGATATTCCTGTCGATGTAGGTGAAGGTGACAGTGTCTAGCCACGTCGTTCAGGTGACAGTCTCCAGATGATGTCTGTTATTGAGCCGATGATGTAATCATTGCCCTCCCCTTCATAAGCATTGTGAAATATGTTATTCCTACAATACACGTCGCATACACTTAGGCGTTCATTCTGTTCAGCACTTCGATGGAAATTCACGTTTTGCGGAATATATGTAGATACTCAGGAATAGAAACTTGATAATGTGGAAATCATTTAATCCATCAAGTGGCACTATTTATATATATTGAGTGTTATTTTTTTTTAATTAAAAATAATCATACATAGAAATAACCCCTTTTTAATTGTAGTAAAATGTAAATTGTATTTGATACAGTAATACCTATTTAGAAGCATCTGGCGTAAATGTCTGAAGGCAGATGGCATTCCTCTGAAGAATATGAGGAGGGATTTAATCACAATACAATTCTATATTTCCTTTCACCTTCTGATAGCATTGGAGTGTAGGTAGCGATGCATCATGGCGGGAAAGGTTCATATGAACGTGGTCAGAATATGCCTTTTTTGATTTTAATATAACTCTATGCAATAAATACATTTTCAGAAATTTTAAAATGTATTATCAGGTAATACTACTTAGAGAGTTCAAATATTCACCAGTTGAGAGAACAAAGGTCAAATTGACTCCATAATTTCTCACAACAAGATGTAACAGAATATTTCATTGCCACGAGAGAAAACAAAGGTCATATTGACTCCATAGTTTCTCACAACAAGATGTAACAGAATATTTCATTGCCACGAGAGAACAAAGGTCAAATTGACTCCATAGTTTCTCACAACAAGATGTAACAGAATATTTCATTGCCACGAGAGAGAACAAAGGTCAAATTGACTCCATAGTTTCTCACAACAAGATGTAACAGAATATTTCATTGCCACGAGAGAACAAAGGTCAAAATGACTCCATAGTTTCTCACAACAAGATGTAACAGAATATTTCATTGCCACGAGAGAGAAACCTAAAAAGAGAACGATCGTTTTTCCAATTCGAAGAGATATAAATTTTCAACAAAGAATTCATTTTCATTCGGAATAAAGAAAAAATCTTTTTTTTCTCCCTTTTATTAGGCTTTAATATTAAAAAGAAAAAGTTTTTCCTATTTCCCACCCAACTGAGCGACATGAAAAACTGCTTTGGTATTTAATGAAAAAAGGAGGAGGACAGGAAGGAAGTAATATAAAATATTTTGTTGCTTCTTTTTAATTTTTAAATATTTGGTATCGGTAGGTGTTGGAGGTAATTATGGGACGGCTATTGATTCTCTCTTCTGGAATTTCTTCAGCTCCTTCCTGCCCCAGGGATGGGGTTGAACGACTTAGCATCTAGTTATATATATCACCACTGGCTGAATAACTAAAATTGTTGAAAATCAAGATCATCTGTGAAATTAAATTGATAAAGTAGCCGAAGTCTTGGTGCTAAGCTCAAAAAGCCTTTGTCTATGCAAAGGGTATATGTCTGATTAAAAGAATGGGTTGAATATAGCTTCGATGTTTTTTATGAATTAAATTGCCATTTATCAATGAAATTTGTAACAAATAAATTTACTGGCAATGGGTTTCTTTAAAATATTATCATCAAATATTATCTATACAGACCTAAAGATAATATTTGATGATATGACTAAAAAGAAATGCATTGCCATTAAATTTATTTGTTACAAGCTTTGTTGTTCTTTTTCTTACTTTGTACATTCAGTAATGTATGAATATAGTATGATATCACAGCAAAACATTCCGCCTATAAACCGTTATATCGAGCTATGAATCGTGACATTCTGATTATCGACAAGAGGAATCGAATAATCCCATTATCTTCCAAATACATCTCGTCAGAATGCCAAAGACATCATTATACTGATAAGAACATTGCCACAGGATAATCATCCTTCGCTGAATTGCGAGAATACACCTATCCCCCGATTTACACGGTAGATACGTTCCTGAGAAAAACGTGTAAATCGAAAATTAAAAATTTTCGCGAAATTTTTATGCGAAGAAATACAGACACAGTGTGCGTGTGCAGCAAGTCAGCACATAAGCTCGGGATTCCTCGTGAGATGTGTACACAGCGCATGTGTTCAATCACAGTAGTATTTTGTATAGTGCGATAAAAACAAAAAAAAAATGCATTTGGAAAACCGTGTAAAAGCGAAAACGTGTAAAACAAGTACCGTGTAAATCGGGGGATAGGTATACTCTATTTGGCCGGACTTCTACACAATGCCATTGCTGAAATGTTGAGGTGTTTATGAACAGATATCCTGAAGGTTTGAAACATCTTCCAGTATTACTTTAGTGTGTTAACTCTATTTTATTATACACAGCAATAACATCTATATAATACAAATCAAAACATCAAAACTCGAATGTTTCTTTTCACAAATGAACCAAACTTCTACTGTCCTTACTGCGATGAAAAAATATTGGGAGAGCTTGACTCATCAGTGGTGAAGCCTCCCAGCGGGTTTGCCAATTTAATCTACCAGACCGCTTCTACAGTAAGGACAGTAGAAGTTTGATTTGTGAAAAGAAACGTATTAATTTATGCCTAACTGGTCCTTATTGGTTTCGGAAGAGCATTATGAAGCATCCTTAGAACTATGAATTCCGGCCTAAGGCAACCTCAATCTACAAAAAATATATATACTTTTGGGAGCTAAGACTTTCCTATTATAACATCAAGCAGAGTAATCACCAAAACCACACACACACACACACGAAGAAATTAATACTTTTTTAATTTCCTTTCTTAACTGACTCACATCCTTTCTAAAATCAAATATATACATGCAAAGTAACCCGGTCATCTGGTCAAAATAACAAATATATTAAGCTATGAAAAACAACTTATAAAAAAGCTAACATTTACTTACTATAAAAATTATAATAATTTGAAGGTTACCAAAATTCTTATCCTTGTCTTTCAGATAGGTGAATTTGCAACCATTTTGTTCTTTTTTGTGTGTTCCCGAGTATATATTCAGAATATTACGCCGCATATACGTACAGTTATCAGAATAATTATAAAATATTATAGAGAAATAATACGAAGAATATTAATGAAAATGTTTAAAAAACGACAATAGGTGAAGGACCTGATCACTGGAAGATTTTATTGAACGGTAACGAACCTCACACTAATAGGTAAGTTAGCAAAACAACAAACTATATAAATATCTAACACAAAGCAATAACGCGCCATCTATACATATAAAATGATAGGATTTAAAAACACGAATGTTTCTTTTATACATAATACAAACTTCTACTGTCCTTACTGCGATGAAAAAATATATTGGGAGGGCTTGGCTCATCAGTGGTGAACCCTCCCAGCGGTTTCGCCAATTTAATCTAACAGACCGCTTCTCAGAGTTCTAATACTGTATTGGATCATTCTGCTTATATACGTAGCACTATATAAATATCTATATTTACGGGGCTGCAAACCAGAATGAAAAATATGCCGAAACCCGGGATCGAACCAGAAACTTTTAGATCTTCAGTCTAACGCTTTTCCAACTGAGCTATTTCGCCTTTAAAAAAAGTGAAGATGCCGGGAATTGAACCCGAGGCCTCTCACATGCGAAGCGAGCTCTCTACAACAAACTAAACAAAGACATCTATTTATATACAATGTAATACAACAGTAACAAGGTCGCTGGTCAATAACAATAATTATATTTCTATGAAAAATAGACACTTCGGCCAGTTAGAGTTTTTTATTTTTCTCAACGTTTCGACAAAAATATTTTGTCTTCATCAGGAGAAGTAAATATATATTTCACAGAAATATGAAAGCAGGCCAGGCAACCTCTATCTCCAGAATATTTATATTACACCTATCCCCTGATTTACACGGTAGATACGTTCCTGAGAAAAACGTGTAAATCGAAAAAGAAAAAGAATGTCTTATTTTAAATCTTTCAAACCAGCCATGACTTGCCAAAAAAATTGGCTTCTTTTCAGTTGAAGAATAAGATGTGTGTGGCAATTGCTCTACATTTTTTTCGTATAGTATTTCGTTAGTATAGTGCGATAAAAACAACAACAAAAAAACTTAATTGGAAAACCGTGTAAAAACGAAAACGTGTAAAACAAGTACCGTGTAAATCGGGGGAAAGGTGTATTTTCCTATTTAGAAATCTGAGAGAATTGTCATTTCAACAGAAAGAATAATGTTACCTAACACAGCTATAAGAATCCTGACTGGATCATATACCACGGGGTAAAATAAACGTCCAAAGAAATAAAGACCAATACTTCAATCTTTTAATTTCTCGAAGAACAAATTCTGCGGTTGATTGGTTGGTCTGCCACTGGAAAGATTACAGAAATTGGAATTATTTCTTTCTTTCTTTTTTCTACAACGGTCACCCACAAACCTTTGGAATTGAGATGATCAGTGTAATATGTGTCTTCCAGAAATAACACAATTTCCTTTTTCTAAAAGGAGGTTTTGTTAGATCTATTCAATTTTAAAGAGTTTATATTTTGATGCATTAGCATGTTATGAAAATTCGAAACTATTATAGACGCGTATGATTCTTTTGAAAATTAAACAATTTCTACTGTTCTTACTGAAATGAAAAAAATTATTGGAGGGCCTGGCTCATCAGTGGTAAACCCTTCCAACGGTTTCACCAGTTTAATCTACCATACCGCTGTTATATTGCATTTTTCGATTTTCCTTTTATAGTGATACTGATGCTAGACTCTTGGAATGGGTATTTTAGATGAACTATGGACATAAGCTTTGAGGACAGTAGAATTACATACAATTATAAATATATTAATTTTTAAATATTGAAAAATGTGCTCTATCGATCTCAATTATTTTTGACCAAAGTTTATAGAGATTACACATTGTAGTATTATTCGAGGTTTTTAAATACCACAAATCTTTTATAATTGAAAACAAACAAGAATAGCATTGGTCAAAACATTTAAAATCGTAGATTAATATCCTCAACACAATATTTAAGAAAATAAATGGCATCCTTTATTGTGCAACTGGAAATTGCTTTTTACACATTAATATTTGTAATTATGATAATTTTTCTTCAAATCAAAGATATTTCGGCCAGTAAATCTTTTTTATTATCTCGACGTTTCGACAAAAAAATATTTTGTCCTCGTCAGGAGCGAACAAAAATTAAAACATTTGGCAAAGCGTTAAAAATTATTCTAAGGCTGCATTTTTAACTACTTTTTAAATTTAAAAATGAATTGAATTGTTGTGGAATATCTTCGAATATATTTATAGATCTTTTCCCCATTTCTCGTGTTACCCATTCTTCTAAAAATAATCTTTCTTTTTAAAATTTTATATTCCTATGAAATATCCCAATATTTTTGTCGAAACGTCGAGACAATAAAAAATATTTGCTGGCCGAAGTGTCTTTTATTTGAAGAGCTATGAATGCCAGCCAGGCAGCTTCTATAGTTACCATATGATAATTGTGTAGAATTCTAGTTTATTTTATATAGCATATTAGAAGCATAGGGCGCTTCTCCCGTCAAAATAAACGTCAAAAACTGACGCCATCTATTGACCGTCCGGCCTCGGGTCGGTGACAAACCCACAACACCAGCTTTGGCAAATTGAGAAGCGTCCACCTAGAGACCATGGTTTCGGGCTAATGGCCCTCGTCAGTCTAGGGTGGACTTTATTCTATGAGATCCACACGGGATCTAATGGAATCTTCACAATCTACCAAAGAGGTGTTTTGCTTCTCAATTTGCCAAAGCTGGTGTTGTGGCTTTGTTACCGACCCGAGGCCGCTAGTTTCCGGCGACGGTCAATAGATGGCGTCAGGTTTTGACGTTTATTTTGACGGGAGAAGCGCCCTATGCTTCTATGGATCAATTTCCTCCCGGCAATTTTTCCATCTATATAGCATATTATATAGTTATTCAGGTTTCAAAAAACTTGTATTGAGCCATTTATGTATTTCCATATTCATATTATCCAATTGCATACAGAAATATATTTTAAACGAAGTGAATATTTTGGATTAATATTATTCATTAAAACATATTTCCGAAGATTTGCTTACAAGGAGTTTGAATTCCTAGAGGAAGAAAGGCGAGCAGCCTCGTCGAAATATTGGAAATATGATTTAATAATTAACATCGATCCAAATTATACACTTCTTTTAATGTTCTGAAAATGAATTGCTTAATATTTTGAACAAGAAATATATTAAAATAAAATTTAATAAATTAATTAATATATAAATAGAATATTTAATTGAAAAGGCATATATTGGATCAAAATGTCATTTATTTTACTAATATTTCAGTTAGCTGACGCCAACCTTTATCAAGGTATTATAACATTTTAAAGTGTGTCAACAACAAACTCAGCGCCACATAACGTCAACAGCATTAAGTTTTTAAAATTTTTTGTTATATTCAATAGGGAGAAAAAAAGTTGTTATATATATTTAAATTATAACATGAATCATGAAAATTTCTCTTATAGAATTGAAAATAGTTATAAAACGAAGAGAAAATTTTTTATTTTTACTATACATGGGCTACAAGCTTTCGGGCTTCACGCCCTTCGACGGGCGTACCCGTCGAAGGGCGTGAAGCCCGAAAGCTTGTAGCCCATGTATAGTAAAAATAAAAAATTTTCTCTTCGTTTTATAACTATTTATATATATTTAAATTATGGACTAAATAATTTTGTAAAATATAGGTGTGAATATTTTGAAAATTAATGGATATTGTTCCACTTTATCAAAACCGAAATGTTTTCATATATAATAACCATTATATAATAGTTTTAAAGGTTTATAATAAACAAACACGATGGAAAAAACACGACTATGATATAGAAAAATATAAAAGAAATGTGTAAGTATAAAAAGTAAAGAAGAATTATAAAAAAAGAACGATCTGGCAGCAAGGTAAACTAGATCTAAACATGTGTGTGTTCCAATAAACCTATTTTCAAATTACCAGAAATACAATGGTCCAGAGAGAAGCAATATTTGTAAACTTAGATTAAAGGAACAGAAAAAGTCACTGAAGATATTTTACTGAATCGAAAAATCTTCTAATTCAATAGTTTTTAAGTTGGCCTCTTTGGTGTCTATTATTTCTAAGGCCTCAGGGGTTTTAAAGGGCCCCCACCTTCCAAAGAAGATCTTCTCTAGAGAGGGAAAAAATTCCACCCACTTTTATCTAATCCCTTTATTTTCTAAAGAATTTTCCGTTTCTTTTTCCTTTTTATTATCAGCATACCTTCTTTTTTTCAGAATAAAAACTAGAAATTGGAATTTGGAGGAGTGTTTTTTATAGATGAAAGTAAAAAAAAAACAATAAAAGATGTTCGAGTTCTTAATAAGCGATGCCATAATATCTATCATTTTCCCTCTTGACGCTTCTCTCTCACGGGTTATTTGAAGTTTTTAGCCGTGTTTTCCCGATAGGTTTTTCAAATGAGCTGCAGTCGGGTACCATTGGCCGGGTATTGACGTGTAAGGGTGATTCATGACCCCGTGGCTCATTTTTTAGGCGGCTCGCGTAAAATGGAAAAGTGGATAAAGCTATCAGGCCCTAGGCCATCCATTTAGGCACGTTTGTAGACTTGTTATCCCCTTTTTACCAAGTCACCGCCCCATGATAAATCATTAATCTTAAAATTGATGTTATATAGATCCATAGCCATCTGCTAAAAAAACTTACCATACTTTGATTAGACTCAAAAGCAGACGGCAAATTCAATATTCATTTTGAATAAATTTAACTTTGTTAACACTGTTATTTTTGAATCATTCTCTATTTAAATGATTTTATTCTTAAAATTGATGATATATCGATCCATAGCCTTCTGCTAAAAATCTAACAGACGAACCTTCGATAAGACTCAAAACCAGACGATAGATTCAAAATTCATTTTAAATAAATTTGATTTATTTACTCTCCTCTATTTGATGGAATTTTAAAATAAATTTAATATTATGTTTGCAATATCTTTCTAAATTTTGTTAAATTCACAGATATAATATTTTTCCTATTAAGTTTTTTCTATACTCATATATTATGATAGAAATATTTATATTAAAATAATATAGGAAATAATACTGTAAAATAAATATTAGCAATTCTAAATGGATTATAACGGCTTAAAAATATTTGGTTAACTTTTTATTAAATTATAAATATATTGGGGAGATTTCACAGATTCAGTGTAAGTTTATAAATAATTTAATATTTGAATATTATATTCTAGAATATATGTAAATAATTATAGAGATTTATTTAAAAATATATATATATTATCTTAAAAGATATATTTCTTTTTCATATTTTTCACAAAAAAAAAGATCTTGATTTGTTTAATATAAATATATTTTGAAACATTTATTAAAATAGAAAAATAACGAGAAATATGTTTCTATAATATATAAATTGAAGTAAAGAAAAATTTGAAAAAAAAAAATCTGAAAAAAAAAACCTTTTGATTTTTTAGTGTATGTCACTTCACGCACTGTTTGCTCTGCAAATATTATCAGAGTAACATTTTATAAGTCAATTTAACTTAACTTTGATGGTTTTATGAATAGGGTAAAATTATTTTTTTGTAACTAATATGTCACAGGTTCTTTGGC